AAGGTAAGAGCAATAGGGCCACTGTGCCCTCTCCCTGCCCTCTGTGCCACTGTTATTTTATCATAGCCAAAGGCTTCCTTCCAGCAGCCTGTGCCCCATTGTCCCTTTTTACTTTTTCCAATGAATTTGTGAATTTCATATTATTACAGTTGGTTATTGTTGAATCCCCTCTGGCTGGATCCCAGCGAATTAAATAGTGAACAATTTATTGAATTGGCAGTCCCTGAAGAAGCTTGTGAAGCTTTATGAATGCTTCACCTCCTTATTTTCCTGTCTAGTATTTTGTGTGTGGTTATTCATTCAGCTGGGCTCTTGTAAAAATGTTTTCAATCCATATTTACAGCATGTTTTTTCCTTAACTCCCACTCATCTGATTAAGCACATATTATTTAAGCATCGTTTTCTAGCCTGAAAATAAAAAGATGCTTCAATTTAAATAGTTTGTGCACATACTGGTTTTCCATCCTTTGGCTGATTAAACTGATTAACCACAAAATATTTTTACTGATATTTGGCTGAAAATCACCTACTGAATAATGGTTCATGTAGAGACAACTTTTTAAAGGAATAGTTCCACATAGTAAGGACAATGAGATAAACGTGTTGTTTTTACACTTCAGTTTTTGTATGGAATAATCAAGCAACGCTATAACAAGCTTTAGAGGTGTTTGAGCTGGCTATTTCCACCTGTTTTTCTTTATGCTAAGCTAAGCTAACTAAACTCCTCCTCTTAGATTTATCATGAGTTGGCACAGTGGCAACGTTGAAGTGTATTTGTATTTATTTTCTGATTTCCCAGTTTGGAAGCCAGCCATGAAGTAGAGGCATTTCTTTGTTAAACACAAGCCAATTGCCAGTGATGTTTATGAGCAAACAGAAGCTGCACAGTCCTTGTCTCACAATTGTCTGACTTCTAACTCTGAGTAAATTAGCCTGAGGCAACCAACCAGTGATACTCTATTCCCACTGAGGCATTTTAATGCACCTGTCAAAAGAACTAAACATACACCCTCAGATCTCTCCCATGTCAAACACACCGGCCCCCCTACCCAGAATGCCCTAGGGCTGTAACCCTGACCTTTCATGCAAAGAAACTAGTACACTAACGACTCAAATCACTCTTAACTGAATTAACTGTGATGTCATTGTCACCTATAGTGGTTTGACGTAATTCCACATAACAACTTTTTAATTCAATACTTGTGTTTCCCAACAAGCTCAGCCTAATTCCAATTTGTAAGCAGGTCCACTCTGACTACATTAGATCCTTCCTGATGAATATGGAGGGCTTTAGCAAACCTCCTTGTCACACAACCACAATGTTTCGTGCCCTTTTGATTAACATGGAATGGAAACAATTAGGTGGGGGAGGTAGTGAGGCAAAGCAGCACATTCAACAGCTTTAAATGCTAATTAGCTAATGGAGGATGAAAGAGGAGGCAACTGGCGGGGTTTCACATGAATACACGCTAACCCAGGCTGCAGCTACGCTTGTTTTATCTGAATTTAGTGAGACCACCACCATTTTGTTTCCTCGAGTACCTCAGACAATACAGCCATCTTGTGCAACGTGAGATTTTTTGTAATGATCTCAAATGAGGCTGAACTCATCTTTTCCAGAAGTGCCTCATGTTGCTTTCTTCCTTCTGAATCATCTCCTATTCACACTTTTAATCACTATTTATACTATTTTTCTTCTCTCATCACTTCTTATGTCATTATTCTTAGGTCAAAGAAATATTCTCATGGTATTTGAAGTTCTGTGTCATTTTTTATGAGCTTTTTGTGCTTTTCCAGGGCCTGCAGGCTCACCACTTATACACAGGCCCTTTTCAGACATAGAATACATAACATTGCTGGCTTAATCATGCTGTTCGTCGTGCACGGCTTTTTGTCATGCAGAGATACTGTAGTTGTATTTTACGTTAACCTTTCTTTCACATCAGTTTCACAATTTAACTTATTAGAGAGCGAATTCAGGTGCCTGTTTTGACATGCACAATCACCGAATGACAGGACTTTAAGTGGGGACTTTAATTTAATTTTAATGCTTTCATGCTGAAAAAAGAATTTTGCTGGATATTCATTTATTCAACATTTGGCATGAATGAAATTTGAAAATGCTGGTATTATTACTACCGGTAATCACCTCTGCTCCCGTTGCACTCTGGGGAAAAACGTTTTATAGACTGATCTGATATGACAAGATATTAATCTCAACAACTTAAAATTGTCTTTTTCACTGTGTTTTGTAGTTTATTGAACACTTTATGTACATAAATGAGTAAAATAATCAAGTTATTGGAACAAGACGCACATCTGTCTCTCTCTGTATGTTAATTTTGTGTTCTGCTGCAGCCTTCATGTTAATCTGGCGGCATTTAATTCTGACTGGTGCTGTGATGAAAGTGATACAGAAATGTTATAAGGTCCGGCCAAGTAAGATGGCTTTTGCTATTTTTATGTAAAAGTGACCAGGGCCATGTCAACCATAAACCCAAAATGTTAAATTGTCATCACATTAACATAAAAGGCATACATGCTTAAAGCGGCTATAGGATGTGTTCGACAAACATTTGACCGTTTTACACCAGACTGTTAAGTTTAGTCCCTGGTCATTGCCTCTCGCACAGGACCCAGGTTGGTAACTGTAGTTCCAATTGAAACACTGGTAAACCATACAGTTATGTCCGATTTTGTATAAATCTAACAATGAATGACGCTGACTAACAGGTCTTTAAAAGTAATCACTGGGCATAATGCTAAATCACTCTGGATTAAGTGTCATTCTAAGTGTCTAACATGGACACAATTAGGCTGCTCACCTTAGTAAGCCATTTGAGAAACATCCCCTGGCCTTAACAGTTAACAGGATTGATCTTTACATTGTAGGTGGAAATTAATGTTCCCTCTGACTAGTTAAAAAAAGAAGGGATTCCTTCTTTCTACTCTGATCTGTGTTAATTGCTACAGTGGGACGCTAGTTCCTCAACTGAAAAGGGCTGTATGAATTTGGTTGGACACTGATTGTCTGAGGTTATTCTATGTATTTCTTACTGTAAACAAAAGTCCAAGACCAAAGCAATGTGTTAGTCTGTTCTCTGAATACTTTTTAACTTCCTTACCCTGTCTGAGGCACTCAGCCCCAACCCCATTGGTTCCCACTTAAGACGTAAATCTATAAAAACGCGGACAAACAGGCCTGCAACTTGTTGTTTATGTTTTTGCAATGAATCAATTAACCTCTTAAAATGACCATCACAAGGTCAAAGCTCACATCTTCAATCTGCTTGTTTGGTCTAACCAACAGTCGAAACTTTATTAATTCATCAAAATATTTTTTCTCTTGATCAACTAATTGATTAGTCAACTAAAGCTAAGGCTAAAGATCAGACTTGAGCTACATAGTCAATAGTTTGACGGTAAGATAAATTCATTGTTGGTTTAGAGGTACCCTGTGGAGTTTTTGACCACTATTAGTGCTATGGGGAAATTATTTTTTTCAGAGTGGTTGTTCTCACGTGTGCGAGAGGATGCACGAGCACGTGGCAGACGTGATGCACATTCCTGACAATGGTTTCACACGTCACTCAATGATTTATTGCTGAATGTAACCAGAAACTTTGTTTGCTTACAAGAAAACTCCACATGGCACCTTTTGATCTTTTCATGGTATTTGATGACATTAAGAAAAATATAGACCGCTGCCAGCCTCGATCCTATAACACAACATTTCTGGACTCAGCCTTCATCTTGTTTAACCCCTTCTAAATCACAGATAGTTTTGTTGAAGGGCTGTCAGGAATTTATAACTTGGAGACCGCACACTTGATGGGAAGACCTAAGTTAATTGGAATCACTCTGTTATTTTGAGGGAAGAATCAAGGGTCTCTTTTAGGGTCCCCACAAGTGTCTAACGACTTTGAGTGTTTACATATTTCATCACTCACCAGTGTATTACACTCAAGTCGTCATGGACTGTAATCTGAAATAAACATCTTTATCATCGCTCCCCAGTTTGTCACGGACCATACAGATGAGTTGCCGACTCTGTTGATTTCCCTTAAAAGCCCCAAATTTGTCACAACCTTCACTGCTCCTTTGAGGGAGATAGAGCGACTGTGAAAAGAGAGCGAGGAGAAGGGGGGTAAAGCATGCTGTCATGAAAAGAGCCGCTTCCTGGCTGGCTAGATGCAATCATGGACACTATCTGATAGCGCTGGAGGAAATTGGATGAGCTGAGAGCCGTTGGCTGCCAGTGATGGGAAAGATGACTCCTTTGTCACTGTGTCAGTCAATTCCCTACTCTCACCTGAGAGACCAATCAATAACACAGGGAGAGAGAAGGTTTCTCTTATCTTTATGCTCCTGTTTGCTGTGGGCTGCTGTCAATTATGTGCTGTAAAACACCCTCTTCTTCATAGGAATGTGATATGTCATGTTGTATGGTATGCATAAATATGTCATGGATGTGGTTAAATGTCAGATTTAGAAGAATGTTCTTGATGAATTATGATATGTTTGAAGTTACAGGACGTGTAATAGATGAGCGCATAAATATTGTACACATGGGCTCAACATTTGTATTTGTATGATTCTATACTGTCTGTTTGATATTGTGCATACATACAATATTGCATCTGAATAAGTCTGGATAGCATGGATTTTGGTGCTGGTTGAAATTAATTCTGTCTCATTTTTACAGCTGGCAAGTGGTGCAACTGCTCTCATTAGCAACTGCATCGTTAGTTGTGAATTATAGCACATAAGAACCAAAGAGACTCTAACTATCAGTTGCTGTCAGGCGTGTAGTATTACATCAGGCATGGAGGACATCTCGCATGATGTAGGTGTATAAACAAGAACATTCACTGAATGATTCATAACCGTGATACCAGACATCATGAGCTTTAACATATTCTGTGCACAATATGGCCATGCTAGTTCTCTGTAAGATGATGCTAAACTGTTCTTTTCTTTGTTCGCCCTCCCTACTGCAGTTCCCTGATACCTGTGAGGAGTCGGCTTCCCCATTTGTCTTCATATGCACCAACCCCCAGGAGCTACTGGTGAAATTCCCCATGAAAGGGAAGCACAAGATATGTAAGTCCTACTTCTTTCATGAAAGTGGAAGTGGAGTGGATGAAATTAGCCTGAGCCGACTAAGGATTTTTTATGTCTTTATTTTTTATCAGCTTCCTCCTCTGCACTTGTATGCTCACATGCATACATAAATGGACATGTAAAAGAGTGATAATTCTGAGCGTGGGCTCTGATTACTATATTTTCATTAATATAACAACATTGCACACACAAACACACAAAGCGTTCTCTCACGTACACATAAACAGATCCTCTCTGAGAGCCATCTGTAAAGACAGGGTTTTGCTGTCAGGTTGCCTGGGGGACAAGCCAGGCCTGGATGTGCAATGTTGTTGCTGTATTGTGTGATTTATAATAGGAGTCAAACACATTTTCCCTCTGCTGCCATAGATGCTGCTGCAAAATGATGTACCTGCAAGCTCTTTTGTTAATATTTCAAAACCCTCTAAAGAGTTTAGAGGACTGTTTATGCAGCTGTGCCTCTTTCAGACCTTTCCAGATCGATGAAGATGGCTTTTTGGGAGGCTCAAGGTAAAATGTAGCAGGACATTTGCCCTTTTTTTATTTAGTTTTTCGACTGAAATGGTTGTGATGACCTTGTCTGCATTTTTTTTTAAATAAGGGACCGTTGAAAAGCTTCAAAAGGTTTAGCACAGACCTGAACAGTCTCAAATAAAATGAAGTGCTTGTCCAATTGGATGTCAGCTGGTCTTGAAAAATGTGTTGAATTTGATTACTGATATAGAAGTTTTCAGGACATTGCATTTAAAATATGAAAAATTAAGCTGCTCATGTGCTCCTGTACTTTTATTTCATTTTCACTTATTAAAGGTGCGATTTATCGAGAAATCCAACATGACAAGTACCATGATACAGAGTGAACAACAAAACAGCAAGTAATGTAACTAACGTTAGCTAAGTTGTGGGTAAACAAACTGTCGCTACAGTTGTTTCTGCAAAGCTAACACTTTTCACTTTTCTTTCACTTCCTTTTTGTCCAACTGCCTTTCCAGCTCTGGCTCTCACGTGTAATTTGATATACTTATTCTGAGCCAAACATACATACAAACCATCACTACCACCACAAATTTTCTGACACATCTTTAGTAATGCTGTCTGGAGACTGCTATCCTTATTTCAGTTAAACTAGCATTTAATATCTTGAGATTAACAACACAAAACCCCCACATAATGTAACAAATTGACATGTAAGAGCATTATATCCCAAATATGGACAAAGACCACCAGTTGATAATTCTGAATATACTACACTGGATGTAGGACACCTGTAAAATATTTTTAATATTAGGGTCCCATCACATAAATCAGATCAAATAAAGTATTTCAGAATACCACAAATCTGCAAAATAATAGCAAAGTTATCAACCCATCTTTTAATAAAATAAATGTTACATACAGTTTGTTGATCTGTTGGATTAATTTGCATGTCTTCATTCGATGCATATGTACAGTTTTGCATGTATTGCATGCTATTTTCATGTAGCATTCATTGATTTCAATATGCTCCCTGCTGTACCTGTTAAGTCTGTTATCTGGATTGGTTATCCTGACATACTGGACCTACACACTCCAGCATGACTTATTCTTCTGTCACCAGCTAGCTTTTCACTATCTCACCATCTTGCTCCCTCGCCCCCCCACTTCCACCTCAATTCCCACTGCATCTCACGGGTCAAGGCATTGCCGCTCATCTTACTCAGGGGGGCTTAGCACAAGTATTTTTTGCTCTCCCAGCAGCTTACACTGACAAGATCCGCTTGTCACTGACATTGCCAACCATCTCATGCCTCATCAGAATGAGCAAGAAAAGTGTACAGTTTCCTGCTTTTCCATTCCTTTCAGCAGACTTAGTGCTTCATTACATAACAATGATGATTTCTGTTTTTTTTTTGTTTTTTTTTCAGCGCCTTGGTAATACGTAAAATATGTATTGTGTGACTCATGAGACCGATTATTTCATCAAGTAAATTCTGTACTCATGTTGCGGAAAATGGGAGTGGGAGCCTTGATAAATATGCTGATAGCAAACGAACACAGGGCTTAAAGCAAGAAAGTTTTCTGTGCCTGAAATGTGTTCGTGGGTTACGACAAAGATGAAGGGTCGGGGGCAAGAGCGTAACTTGTTGTTGAAAAGTGGGGCTCAGATTAGGAGTGTGACATATACTTAGCTAATGACACATGAGGAAACACAATACTGACTTCACAAGAACAAGACGAGAAGATACTTGTACACTGTTTAGAAGAAATTTCAGTGTGGAAATACGTATATGATGATGATAATTTCATGCATTCTGGTTGCATTCATTTCATGCATTTCTGCCACCCCATATAATAGGTGATAAATAAAAAAATAGGTGCTGGGCAGTATGGCCAAAAATGTTATCAAGATAAATATTTCAATATTCGATATAGATAATTATCATTATAAATGTCAAATCATTATTTCTTTCAAGTTTAAAGGCTGATTTTGCTGAGCGAAAGTTGAAGAAACCAGACAGTTAATTGTGGTTTTAAACATTTTTTATGGTGAGAACAAACACTTGATGCCAAACAGTGGATCACTTCAAATATCTGAGGTAGAACATTCAAAACAAATATGATAAAATATTTTGGTAACACTTTCTATGAAGGTGACTTATGCATATATTTATAACACAATATAATGCGTCCATAAGACATTATAACAATTGTTATAATCACTTACAAACATGCATTAGGCGCTATAGCAAAGTTCATGACGTATTATGACCTTTTGATTTAATGTTTTATAACTAATAGTAATACCAGTTTATATCAATGTGCGGCAAGAATCTCCGACCATGTTCCATAACACATTATAACCACCGACTCTGCCTCTTTATAAATACACTTTAGTCACCATTTAGAATTAGTGATATAAAATGGAATAATAGCTTATAGTAATGTTTAAAGTTATATAGCATGTCTTTGTTTGCTTTAAGTAAAGTGTTAAAATATCTATCCCTGTATAATATATTACAGGTGGACATAATACCATATGAACTAATTATAAGACCTTATAACACGTAATTGTTTGCTTTAAGTAAAGTGACACACATTTTTACGCAGGAAAACAACTTTTATTTACGTTTCTTCACTTTATGAACAATCTGTATGAATTTTGAACATTTTGCAGTTTAGCACAAAAACACAACATAATTAGCGTTACATCAAGAACACCCATTGTCAGGGTGGTGAAAGATCACTCAAGAGAAGACCTGTTGCCGACCAACATCATGTAAGAAGAGGCTCAGATATTGTCACAGATGAATGGCGAGCCTATGGACAGTCCCTAACAGATGCAGTGGACAATTAAAGACAACCACTTCTTGCCGCACATTGACATAAACTGGTATTACTATTAGTTATAAAACATTAAATCAAAATGCGCCTAATGCATGTTTGTAAGTGATTATAACAACTGTTATGTTTTATGGACGCATTATATTGTGTTATAAATATATGCATTAGTCATTATAGCGATGACCTTCATAGAAAGTGTTACCAATATTTTTTCAACAATTATGCATGAGTAAAATTAAGTTTCTTTAACAAAATAAATATCTTATATAGATATATATGTATAGATAAATATGCTAATTTGTTTGTTATTCAAATGAACAAAATCAAACATTTATTGAACATTTGTTATTGTTGTATTGCCAAGCCCTACTGGTACTCCCCATTCACATGTTGTCGTGTGTATCGGCTGTCACTAGGGCTAATGTTAGTGTATTCATTATAATTTCAGATAATAGTATACTATATAACTGACCACTAGTACAATATTAATTCCAGTTGACAAAACAGCAGTTTCATTTTTGTGGGTAGTTTTCATTCATTAAACCCTTATCTACATGGTGGTCAGTCTCTAATTAGTTAATGGGTCAATAATCATTCATGCAGAACAACAAGTTCAACATTTTGTTTTATATTAGCTTAACTACAGTTATCACAAAAAAAGCTACTACACATTGACCTTTTGAGCAACACCTTAATCGATCCAGTAGAAACTTCCATGCCCTAGTGTCCACAGCCTACAATAGCCAATGAGTGTCAACATAGTCAGGCAGTACCAGGCCGTCGTTTATACACCGAGCCACCAAGTGTGCTGAGGACTGGTGCTTCATACACACATTTCACGCAACAGTTTTAAAAAAATTTTCTTTATTATGTTTAATAATAATAAATTGTCAAATATAAAATGTCCCGTGCCGGAATTCCAGCACAGCAAAGAACCTTTCCCCCTGCTAACAGCAACAAGCTTTAATATGACAAAATATCAACCTGTCAAGTATTAACCACTGAAGTTTAAGAAACTACAGAAATTCAAGTCTGTTTTGTCTGCACAGTCTGTCAGATGATAGCTGGGATTTTAGTCCTGGTTTGTATTGTTTGTTGTTTATTTACATCCCCATTAGCCACTACTCTTCCTGGGGTATACAGTGGGCTACATACAGTTCAAATACACATAACTGCTCTAATCCCCATACATTTATCAATCAATCAAGTTTACTTGTCACGTGTACTCGTATAAGGTACAATCACGGTGAAATGTAAACCTGCCAGTTCCTTCAATTTGTGCACTTAAAGAGTTTAAATTAGTAATAAATATGTGTATGATTGGGGGAGGTGGGGCAGTCTTATGCAGTGACCTAATTTAGGATCCTAGTGGCCTGAGGATAGAATCTCTTCCTGAGCCTCTCAGTGTGTAAAACACTAAATTGATTCATAAATCTGTTGGTTTGCCAACTAGTGATGAAAAATATATTGGTCTAATTGCTTTACTAGAGGTTTGTATTTCTTCACTTGCCATTTTTTTTCTTCTGCATTTTGGGCTTGTAAATGTGCTACTGTTAATGTTTTATATGAATGGGGATTGTTTTGATTTGTGTCATTGGCAAGACAAATGAATAAGCTGAAAGCTGCATGATGCTGCTGTCTAGCATGTTGTTTCTCGT